CACTGTGGGCAGATCTGAAGGCAGCTAGAGGCCTGTACCAGGTTTCTTTCCCATCTGCATTTTATCAGTGTCAAGATGTTCACCCTATCGAGGTGATTTTGTGAATTGTCTCCTAATGGGTTTTGCTGCTACCACACAGCCCTGGGCAGTTGGCCGTGGGGCGCAGTCCTGTGAACTCCAGGCCATTTCCACGGCCTGATTTGATTGGAGGAGCGTATCCAGTTCACAGATCTGTCATAAGTACAGTGCAGTTGTAAATGAACCACGTTTAATTACTGGCCAGAATTGTTTCTGTCTGTTCCTGGTGCAGTAGTTTTAAGTTCAGGCAAGGATGATGAGAGTGGCGTGTATCCATTTACTCTTCTCATTCAACAGCTCACAGAATCGATGCAGATGGCTAAATCTGATGAGAGCTGCACGTCTGTTACAGTACCTGGGTCAGCGGAGACAGCAGAACCTTCCCCCAGATGCTACAAGCTTGAACAAGAGACATTTTTATTTTTATCTATATAGCAGGTGGTGGCCTACCAGTCACGTTAGGATCAAAAATGAGAGAACCTGCTTCCTGAGGTGGCTTCAAAGCAATACTTCTCAATTGTGGCTCAGTAATCAATAAAGCAATGTGACTCTGAACGTGCAGTACTTTCTGCTGAGGTTGTGTGAGCAGGCTGAGCACCACCCATCATGCAGCCAAATCTTTCCTGCAGCAATTTGGCCCAGTCTGTTTGTGCAGTCTCACATAGCCTTCTGTACTTAGCAAGAAAGAAGACTTGTTTTTACTACTTCATGTACTTACTGAGGTAGGTAACATGCCTTTTTCCACGCCTGAGTGAAAATTCTTTGTTAAGGCCACCTCCTGGGAGTTTTCTGTGTAAATCCTTTCGTTGGAAAGAGGGCAGAGATTGTTTTCCACCCTAATTCTGTATTTGAAATGCACTTGTTAAGAACAAGTATGTTTGGAACGGAGTTCTTTGCTTTTTGTAATGACACGGACCTCTTCCCTATGAATCCATTCAGCTGCTCACTTCAAACACTGCTCTACCAGACAAGGACACTGGGTATAATTGTCTTATTAATTCATTTTCCTGTCAAGGTGTTCAGGAGACCAGGAAAGCAGAGCGGGGGGGAAGGACAGCAATTCATCTTATTTCTAGGAAAAAAAGAATGTGGTTCATAGGAGTAAACCAGACCAAAGTGAGGAGAGGCACAAAATGGGGAAAAGAGCTGAAAACCCTGAATTCAGCTGCCACTTCTGCTGCAGCATCAGATATGAGGTAAACTTGTTGGATTTGTCCTGCATGGAAGCCGTGCTGGTAATTTACCAGCAGAAAGGGTGGTGCTGTTCTCGTGACACAGCAGGTGGAAGTGGCAGCCGTGTGCTATTCCAGTTTTGGTGGGAGTTTTGTGGTGCTTTCCTTACAGAGAAAAGGAATAATCGGGCTGTTTCTGAGCCACAGCTCTGCTCGGTGAATCCTGGGGCAGCTTCCATTGCTTCCATGGGAGAGACAGGAAACAAAGGGTCTTGGCTGTGTGTTGTTGCATTACCATAAATCACTTCCTGATGTGCACCTGACCCTTTTTTCTGGAGTGCCATTCTCTGCTCAAGTCATGGTCTTGAGATGACATGCAGGAGGGCATTTAACGGGACAATTAATTTTCTAAAACCAGACTCATTTGAGCTAGGCTGCAAGGAACTTCTCCCTCCAACACCCGTTCACACAACTAAGTGTTCACTTTTAAAAGTAAAACAAGGCTCTTCAGTTGCAACCAGTTCCTGGTGTAGGACTCTATTTCACGTATGACCAATGTTCTGTTTTTTTTCTGATACTAAATGTAAAATGTGCAATAAATTATGTTCAGCTGAGCACTGGCCCATGTCCCATTCTCATCTTCTGGGCAGCACTGAAAATAAGCTCCTTCCATAACATAAGGGTTGCAAGTTCTATGAATTTAACTGCATCCTTTGTTACGTTCTGCTTCCTGCTCTTTTGTGGTCATTTATACCCACTGCTAGTTGAAAGGGACAAGAAATGCCACCGGAATTGCCTCTTTCATGTCTTGTGTCGGCCTGAAGTGGGCAGCAGTGGGAGTTGTTCTGTGTCAACTGGGATGTAACAAACTGCTCCATTGGCAGTGCTGGGAAGTAGGAGTTTTGCAGTGGCAAGTGCAACCAACTGCTAATTAAAAAGAAAAAGCATGCTCCTGTAACTAGCAGGGCAAATACACTGAAAAGTTTGCACAATAAAACAATGCTTCTTTCTGACAAGTTCCTGAGCTCCAGTTCCTGTTGTCATTCAAGTGACTTTTTGTCTATGTTAAAAGTGTAGAGAAATAGCAGTGTGAAAGTAAAACCTGTTCAGGCTGTGAAGATGAGCTATGGCATTACAGCACCTGGAAAAGAGGCCATTTCTGAGCTGTGAAGTACATCCTTAGTGTAATGGAGTCATGGATGTACTGCAGTAATGTAATTACTTAAATACTTGCAGTAACAGTAGTAGTTAGGGTAGTGAGCATCTTTGGGTGCAAACCAGAATGCCAGATACCTGAGTGAGTGCATCCTTTGCTAACTGAACTAGCGGAGCGAAATAGGGTTTGAAATACCTTTATGAGGATCCGTGACTGCATGCTGGCCTCCTGATCTTGAGCCTTTGAACTGGGAATTCCTGAGCTGGAGATGCAGGTCAAGGTTTTACTTTTTGTCGTCTTCCCTGTCTTCCTTTCCATGCTCCTCTGTGCCAGCCCTCAGCTCCTGCTGTCGCAGTATGATTCAGCCAATGGCCGCTCCAAGGAGCCGCAGCTCTGGGTACCACTTGTGCTGTGAAAGCCTTATCAGCCTCCCCTGCTGCGAGTCACCCTGAGCATTCATACCTGAGGACAGCTCAGCCGCCCTGGCAGGGCTTAGATTCAAGCAGATGCTTTCTTTTTCATTACAGCTTAGCAAAGAACTCAGTTCCTCTGCCTTCCCACTCTATTCTTTCTTCCCCCACTGTATCAGAACCATCGTTGTCTAATTGTAAAGCAGTTCATGCAAAGGACAGGTGAATCTTAATTTTCATCTCTTGATGTCATAATTCTTGAAGTAAAATTACTGACACAGATCTCGCCCCATTCATTTGCTAAGTGTTTGCTAAGGTTTGTTTTCCCTGCCATATCAGCCCACCGAAGATTCAGACTTCTGTTTCTCCCTTCCGTGAAAGCACTACCAGTGGCTTTTCCCCTCCGTGAGGCACAGCTCCCACAGCAGGCTCTTCTCCACAGCAGTCAACGTGCAAACTCCATTTTTGCTCCCCTGCGGTTTGCAAGTCAGGCACTGCTGAGCTGCGTCCACACGGTGGAGCCCCTTGCCCGCCTCTCTCCCTTACACCCCAGCTTCAGGCTTTCTTTCCTGCTGAATACCAAATTCCAGCCTTCCTCCTCTCTTCTTCATTTTCTGCCAATCATTGCAAAGTCTTAAATAGACTGTGAGCATAGCCCTACTTGAGAAACTGCTCCTTTTAACAACTTTGTTCTGTGAGAAACTGCCATCTTACAGCTGCAGCCTCCTCTGGGACTTCTGTTCGTTGCTCTATACATCACCAACAATTAAAACAGAAGCTGTAAGCAACAGAGACTCAGTTTTTAAGGTGATCCAAGTCTTGCTGCCACCCAGCACAACTGTTTTGCACACCAGTAAATCATACTAGCAGACTCTTGAATCCAGAGTAAAGCAAAGTCATTATTCATTTGTTTCACTTAAAAAAAAAAACATGGTTCATTAAAACAGTTTTAATGAAAAAATAAAGTTCTGAATTAAACTATAATTATATATGGCTGAAAGTGATGAACTAAATGGAGATGTTACTTTTTTTCTCTCTGCTGATACTGTAATGTGCTGGACTTGTCAGACACCATCTATTGGGATAAATCTGAAGAGGTAACAGAACAAGAGTCAGTCACATTGATTAGTATTTAACCTCTGGGAAAAAGAGGCAGTTCGCTTGGCCGTTTAACACTTAAAACTTCAGAACACATTCCAGGAGGTCCAGTTGAATTGCAGACATGCTGTAAACACAAAGATGCCAGTGCTCAGAGCAGGTCCAGCCCTCGCAGTTTGCAACCAGGATCTTCCAAAGCCTTTCTGTTTGCAGAGTGAAATGGCAGCATTAGAGAACTTTGGTTGTATTTCTGGCTGCAAACAGCAGTCAGGCAGCCATAAGGGCAAGTCTTTGGCAAACTCCTCGGCGGCTGCACTTAGCCTCTGGAAGGCAGCATAGCACAGTCACAGTCTAAGTTTTAGCAGAAGCTGGAGCTGGTTTTCAGAACCTACAGTCAGTTGTTACGGTGTGGCGGGGTGGGATTTGTATGCAGAACCAAGGCTGAAGAGCAGTTGCACGGCGTGCAGCTCCATCGTCCCGACGCAGCCGTGCCCGCGTCCCACACCGGGGGCGCCGCAGTGCTGAGCTGCCTGCACCGAGCTTTGGCAGCCTGGCGTTCGGCGTCAGGGCGGGCAGCCGACTGCGCTGCTCACCAGGGCGCCGCGCTCAGGTAAGGCAGTGGTCTGACGGCCCTGTCTGCAGCGACGCCACGCGTCCGTAGCAGCACAGCGGGTCTCACATAAGCTCCAGTGCCAGCCAATGACTCCTCATCTCACGGGACAGAGAACACATTCATCAGGTGTAACTTCGGAGAAATGTCTCCAAATCATAAACCTAAGTTGCACAGTGCATACAGCTTGCTCTGTTCGGTCACTGAGGGACAACGCCTCCATCTTGGTGGCCTCGCAAACAAGCCTGGACTCCCTGCACTCTCTTGTCCTTCCCAGCACCAGATGAATCTTTGTTACACTTCACCTCGCTAGCTGCATAGCCTGCACTTGTGGGGTTTTTTTTATGTGTAATTAGCAGCCAACAGGTTAAAGAATTTGGTTTTCTGATTACAAGTCTGGTCTCAAAAAATAAACTGCAGAAACAAAGTCAACTCAGCTGTAGTACTGATGGAAATGATCAAATCTCGAACCAGACTGGCCAGGTTCTACATTTACTACAGCCTCTTTTACAGTCCACGCTTGAATTCTGGGCTGAGAAAAGAGAGAATCGTCATCTTAAAACAGCACCTTAGAGTTTAACAAAGGGCCAGGACACAGAGCAAATGGTTTTCCCCCCAAACACATTTGAGCCAATCATGCAGAACAAAGTCACAAAAAATCACCGTTAAGAGACTTCTAAGAAATCTGATGTCAACTAATTGCCAGTGCTGCCTGTCCAAAGAAAGGAGCCTTCTTTCTCTAAACGCACCGCTCCCCCAGAGCAGGGTGAAGTCCTGTCATTACACAGCGCCAAATCACTGCACTCACCTCCTGCCCGGCCCGTGGAAGAGGAGGCAGATCACGCAGAGGTTGGTATGCATTCACACTCACTCCTACAGAGCCTTAGAATATCTAAGATTGATATACACGGACAAATGGGCAGGTATAATAATACATTAAAATTAAAACATGGGGCCATTTACTTTTCAGACTCTTCACACAGATTCCCTCCTCCTCCTCCCTCCTCAGAGGATGAGTTTTCTAGCACAGAGAAGGTTTGCAGTTTCCCAAGGGGATGAGAAAAAACTCGTGGCAAAGATATTATACATTCCCAAAACATCGTCCAACTCATAGTTGTAACTGGACAAAACCCCACCGAACCCAGAGAGCTTAATTTGTCTCTTGAGCTAATTGGTATCTAGCGGCAGTTTTGACCAGTCTGCTTCTTCCACCCCGGCCATCCACGACTCGGCGGTACCTCATCCCTGTACCGCAGGCAGGCTGGGCAGCCCTTGGCCTGGGAGCAGCAGTTCAGGGGACTCTGCCCGGCCCCCAGCCGGTGTCTGTGCTTCGCACGGCTCACCTGGCGCCCGAGCAGCGCAGCAGCACGCGCCTCCTCGCTTAGTCCAGAAAGCGCCTGCGCGAGCCCGTCCGGGAGCGGTTCGAGCGGCGAATGTCAAACTTGGAGTCCCGGCACTTCTGGCATATGTAGACCTCTGGGACGTTGGACTTGCGGATCTTGGCGCAGGAGAGGTGGATCCAGGTGTGGCACTCGTTGCACTCGATCATCGGCCGCCCGGCAAAAGGCTTCATGCAGAAGCAAGTGACCAGGTCCCAGGAGTCGTCATCTGGAAGGAAAAGCGGCAAGTTGCGTTTTTATCTCCTGATGGCTCTCCAGCGTCTTTTGGCTGCACTGGGAACTCTTTTCCTTCTGATCTAAATTAACTCCCTGCCTCCCAAAGACAGATGCTTTGCTGATTTTTCCAGGTCCTACAAGGAACCAATATGCAAGCTCTTGTCGGGAAAATACTCTTGTATGGGAACTACTGAGTCACGGCCTGAACCTCTGATTGATCACCTGAGGCGAGCCATGAGCCAGCCAGAGGAGCACAGGTGAAGGCAATTCAGCTGTGCTGCCGGAAGGGGTGGAGCAAGGCTGCACCCCTCCTAGACCTATTGAAGAGCTGGCTGCCAGTGGGGAAGGATCTCTGCTGGAGATCCCCTCTATTGGTGTTTTGTGGTGAGCCCAGCCTAAGGGTAAGCGCCTTCCATTTATTCTCTTTTGTTATCATTATCCACTTTGCCTAACTCTCTTGATTATATTGTGATTGTAACATCTTGATATCCATTGATTATACAACTCTCAACGGCACAAAAGAGGCTGTATTCTGGGAGAGAACACCAAGCTGCCTCTTAAGGTCCCAGTAGTTCAGAACCTCGCCCCTCCCCCAAAGAACACCTACTAATTGGTTTTGAATTCTCCTCGCACTACAAGTACTAGAAATCAGTGGCAGCACCGTTGCTTCCACACGGCATCTCTCAAGCCACCCCGGCAGCCAAACCACCTACCCGAATCCACCATGATGTCCTCATCATCGCCAGTGCCGTCCTCGTCCCGGAAGACGACCTGCTTGCCCTGCCGAATGACCGTTCGTTTGCCCACACTCTGGATCTCCACCGCCTGCTCACCCGTCCCTGTGGGGTAGGTGACGCTGGAGGCTGTGTCAGAGTCCCAGACTGAGCAGTGCTCAGCCACAGACTGAGGGTCACCCTCAGACGAGGGGCTCATCGGTGTCTCTGTGTAAGAGTCCTCCGCCTCCAGCTCCAGCAGCTTCTCCTCATAGTCTTCCCCTGCAGACACCTCCGTTTCCCTTCTCTTCAGCTTTTTCTTCTTTCTGATTTTATCGATCTGCTTTCGCTCCGGCAGGAAGTTGCCGGGCTTTGCCCGCTGGAACAGGGAACTGTAAGGCTTTGCTCGCTTCAGCTGGCTGAAGTTTTTTCTGTTCTTGGCAGGAAGGGAAACCGAGGAGGGGATGTCATTGAAGCGGGGGTCCCAGCTATCGCTGTCAATGGTGCCACCGGTGCTGTTGGGAGGGCTGGGGCTGTTCCTCAGCGGCGTTTCCTAGAAAAACACACAGCAATCAGACAGCAGCGTTATTTCCAAGCTGACTTACAGGAGGTGCTGCAGTGCTGGTATCGCACCCCTCCCCCTTCGGGGTTGTGCTTCACACCCGGGTTCAGCCCCGATCCCTTCCCGCATCCCGAGCTGCAACTCCCAGCCCAGCCCAGCCCCGGCGAGCAGCCGGGATCGGGCCCAGAGGAGGGCACGAGGCAGTGCTGGGAGCACAGGGACCGAGGCGCCCACCCGCTGCCGCTCTCACCTCCTGCGGGTAGGGGATGTATCCGGCGTAGGCCAGGACAAAGGTGCAGAACTTGTTGAAGTCTTCCACGGTGCGGTGCCTCCGGGAGGTGGGGGAGAAGTCCTGCGGGGGAGGGAGGAAGGGATGAAGCGGGAGGGAGGGAGGGAGGGGTCAGCGCGGCCGCCTCCGCCGCGGGGCCGGGCCAGGCGCAGAGCCGGGAGGCCCCGCTCCACGCTGCCGGGAGCCGCCCCGCCTCCCCCCCCCCCCTTCTCCCCGGTACCGCTCCCGGTACCCGCCGCCCCCCCCTCGCAACCGCTTCTCCCCGGAGCCGCTCCCCGGAACCCGCCGACCTCGCGCTGCCGGGAGCCGCCCCCCCTGCGCCCCTTTTCCTCCCGGTACCGATGCCGCCCCACATGTCCCCCCAGCCCCCCCCCATCGCCCCAGCGCGGTTGCCGGAGCCGCTCCCGCCCGGAGCCCCGCCCGCCGCCGCCGCTCCCCGCGCGAAGCCCCACCCCCACCGCCCGCGGCGGCACCGGGCACTGCCGCACCGCCCCCCCGCGACCCCCGGCCCCGGTCCCGCAGCCTGACCGCCACCCCCCGCCCCAGGGCCGCCGTCGCGGCGGGGGGGGGTGCGAGCGGGGGGGGGGGGGAAAGCACCGCCGGCCGCCGCCGCCATTCTCTTCCCCCCTATCGCCCCCACTCCGGCTCCCGGTCCGAGGACGCTCCGCGCTCGAGCGGCACAAGATGGCCCCAGGCCGGCAAAGGGAAGCGGGCAGCGGCGGGCACCGGCGGCGGGAGACGCCCCCCGGGAACGCGGCTCACCTCCGGGGCGAACGGGGAGGCGCAGGAGTCGGAGTCCATAGCCCGGCGCGGCGCGGCGGGAGGGCGAGCGGCGGGCGCGGAGCGGCAGGGGCGGCCGGGCGGCACCGACACCCGCGAACCGCTCGGTACCGGCGGGAGGCGGCGAAGGGGCGGGCGCTCGCGCGAGGACCGCCGGGAACAGTAGTCCGACCGCGCGGGGAGCGCCGGGAGGCGCGGGGAGAGCGTGCGCAGTGCGGGCCGCGGGGAGCGCCGGGAGCGGAGCTGCGGGAATGTGCGAGAGGGGCGGCGCCGCGGGGCGGAGCGGCGCCGAGAAGCGCGGGGGCGCGAGGTGAGCGCGGGTGCTGCGGGGCTCCGGGAGGCGCGGGGGTTTCGGCGGCGCTGGGGCGGCGCTGCCGGCGCTCGGAACGGGCCGCCCGCGCCCTTCGATTCTTTGCGGGGCGGCCGGGCCGGGGCCGCGGGGTTCGGGATCCGCCTCTCTCGGCTCGGCTCCGGGGCCGGGCTCGGCGGGTGACGCCGCCGTGTGCGGCTCTCCGAGCCCCGAGAAGCGCCGTGCGGAGCTCCGGCCCGGCGGTGCCGATCCGCGCGGTTCCCCGGGCCGCCCGCTCCTCCCGCCCGGTGCCGTTACGCTGCTGCGGGGCGGTTCGGGGCCGCGCGGCTCCCGTTTCGGTGAGGCCGTCCCGAGGGGCTCGGAGCTCCGCCGCCTCCCATCGCTCCGGGAGCCGTCGCCGTGCCCCGGCCGTGCTTTCTTGTGTAGCACGGTTCTGTTTGGTGGCCGGCAGCGCTTTGCCGAGCGCCGTGCGGGTCGGGGCTTCGGCTCTGCGATGACCGCCCGCAGCAGAAGCTTTGCGGGAACTCGCTCTGCGCGCGGCCCGCGCGTGTGACGGACGGCCGTTATCCGACGGGAGCGCAGCGCCGTTCCCGGTGCTCCGGCAGTCCCCGCGTTGCCCGGTTGTCGTGTCAGCGCTCGGCGCTGCCGGCGGGGCCCCGGAGCGCCCACGTGGGCGATTTGCTGCTGTGGACCCGGCAGCCCCGAGGAGCGGACGAAGCTCCCCGCTGGGCGCAGACCTGCAGGCGACGGCCGGGCTGAGGTGCGGCGCTCCCGGAGCGATCCGGTGTGCGAAGTTACCAGCTCAGCCTTCGTGCAGAGCTCGTGGGATCCCTTAATCCCGTGAAACTTAAACACGGGCTTCTTAAAATATAATTAGCCTAAGCTGGGAAGACTGCTGGCAGCGCCAACGCGTTATGCAACTGCAGCTCCTCTGTGTCAGGGCAGGAGGATGTTTCCGAGCCCTGTTTAGTTCATCCGTTTCCTGGCCGTAGGACGTTTCTCCTTGTGCTGACCTACCTGCTCGTTTCTTTTCTCCCCCTCCCGCCAGCTGCTCGCAGTGCTGAACCCCGGTGTCCCTTCGGGCTGCGACTCGGCGTGCGCCCTCGTCCAGATACGGCATGGCAACCAGCGCGGGCGGCGGCGGGACGGCGGCGGCGGCAGCGGGAGAACCGGCACACGCGGTGTCGCTGCTGCGGGGGCTGAGCGCACTGCGGGCGGAGCGGAGCCTGCTGGACGTGACGGTGGTGGCGGGCGGGCGGGAATTCGGGGCTCACCGCGCCGTCCTGGCCGCGGCCTCCGGCTATTTTCGCGCCATGTTCGGCGGGGCGCTGCGGGAGGCGCGGGCGGAGCGGGTGCGGCTGCACGGCGTGGAGCCCGAGTGCCTGTCGCGCCTCCTCGACTTCGCCTACACCGGCCGCGTGGGCGGGCTGGGCCCCGACATCGCCGAGCGCCTGCTGCGTGCCGCCGACCTGCTGCAGTTCCCCGCCGTCAAGGAGGCGTGCGGCGCCTGGCTGGCGCGCCAGCTGGAGCCCGCCAACGCGCTGGACATGCAGGACTTCGCCGAGGCCTTCGCCTGCCCCGCGCTGGCGGCCGCCGCGCACCGCTTCATCCTGCGGCACGTGAGCGAGTTGGGCGCCCAGCTGGAGCGCCTGCCGCTGCCGCGCCTCCTCTCCTACCTGCGTGACGACGGGCTCTGCGTCCCCAAAGAAGAGGCCGCTTTCCAGCTGGCGCTGCGCTGGGTGCACGCCGACCCCGCCGCCCGCGCCCCACTGCTGCCCCAGCTCCTGGCGCACGTCCGCCTGCCCTTCGTGCGTCGCTTCTACCTGTTGGCCCACGTGGAGGGCGAGCCGCTGGTGGCCCGCTGCCCGCCTTGCCTGCGCCTCCTCCAGGAGGCCCGCGACTTCCAGGCTGCCCGCCTCGACCGCCACGACCGTGGGCCCTGCGCCCGCATGCGGCCCCGGCCTTCCACCGGCCTCGCCGAGATCCTCGTCCTCGTCGGTGGCTGCGACCGCGACTGCGATGAGCTCGTCACTGTGGACTGCTACAACCCGCGCACTGGGCACTGGCGCTACCTGGCTGAGTTCCCCGAGCACCTGGGTGGGGGCTACAGCGTCGCTGCCCTGGGCAATGACATCTACGTCACCGGTAAGGCGCACGGCGCGCTGGGGGCGGGCGGGGAGCAGCTCTGCTCCTGCAGCAGGCCGGGTGCTGGCAGGCGTTCTGAGTCCCCCATGGGGCATCATGCGGGCCTTTTCCAGGAAATAAGTAACTCAGCCATGGGAGCCCACTTCCCACATGGCGCCACCTCTTGTGCTGCTTTCATTCCTCTCTTGAGAACGTTTCTGCTCCTGTAGGTGGAGAAGCAGCCGGGCTGGCTGGCTGATGCTGCACGCAGGGCAGGAGCAGCACGTGATCGAGAGCAGCCTGTGCATCTCTGTCTTAACGTTTGTTCTGGGTCATAAACAGATGTTCAGGTAGGAGGCTGGTAGGAAAGGCAGCTGCATCTTTGAGTAGGGCTTAACAAGGGCAGGCAAAAGTGTGAATTGGGAGAGTTTGTATGAAAACCTCAGTGTTGAGACTCCCATTGAAAATACTGGGGTGATTGCTGTGAGAATTGGCTTTCAGTAGAGGAGCGAAGAATCTGAAACTCTGCTCCAGCACAGCACGGCTGGAGCCTGCAGAGGAGCAGAGACTCCTGGAGGTGGTGCTGGGTGAGGATTTAGCAGCTGATCTCAATCTGGGAGGTATTTGGTTGTGACTAATACTTCTGAGTATGCAGACAAGTCACAGAACTCGCGCTGGGGAAACTTTCTAACTGTTTGCTCTGGACGATATGAGTGACTTGAGAGGGGTTTTGGATTTCTGGCTGCAAAACAAGTGTTTGGGTTCAGAGCCTGCGAATTACAAGCCTGGCAGAGACAGAAGCATGTTGGAAGGCTCTGGGAGCAGTGGGCCTCTGTGCAGATGAGGCACTGAGGAGTGGCAGCAGTGTGTGTGAGTCAGTGTCTCCCTCGGCACACACCCTGCCTCCTGACGGTCTGCTGGGCCGTCATTACCTCTTCAGAGGTGACACAGATGTGTAACTTGGTGCCTAATCCACATACAGGTACCTTTTTGAGCTAAATCCCTGTGCTCAGAGTGGCAGTCCTGTGTTTGTCGCAGGAGTGTGGGACGTGCTGTTAAAGATTTGAAGTGCAGGTGGAGTGGAGTTGAACAGAGAACGGCTCGTTCTCTGCTTTTAGCAGGAAACAAAGCTTAGATTTTCAAGGCAGCAGTGTGAAAAGGAAGATTAGTTTGTATTAATGCCTTTACATCCCTTCCGGAGCAATTGCAGGCAGATCTGGGGGTGCTCTCTGCTGAGAACCCTGCGCTTCAGCCAGGCTGCTGCCGCTGGAGGTGGTTCTGTGTAACATCAGTGTCACTGCTCGGGCGGCAGGGAGGGCTGGGAGGGCTCCATGCTGCTAACAGCAGCAGCGCCTTGGCGCCTGGGTGCTGGTGAATGTTAATCTCTGCTGTGTCACAGCAGCTTCTGGAGAGCAGCAGAGGAACTGCGAAATAGAAAAGACAGTGGTTGTTTGGAACAAAGGAGGATATTGTTTTGAATCATTGCTGAATACGCGCTGGGAATGCCATGGGAGAATTCCTCCTTGGCTTACTGGGAATCTGGGTCAGAAATAGCGCAGAAAGTTTGGTAGCATCTTCTCACTTCTGGTCTCCTAGGATCTATCTGTGTGCACAGTGCGTGGCTCTGCGGGGCAGAAATGTGTGTGGATATTGAGGAGGCGTAGCTGGAAGCCACGATAGAGTCCAGTTCAGAGCCGTGCCCTCTCCTCTGTCACCACAGAGCGCTTTCCTTCCAGGGAATGTTTTTTGTGAATCAGCACTCTTAAATGCTTTGTGTTGTGCTGCAGGGGGATCGGATGGATCGAGGCTGTACGACTGTGTCTGGAGATACAACTCCAGCGTGAACGAGTGGACAGAGGTGTCCCCAATGCTGAGAGCCAGAGAATACCACAGCTCTACGGTGCTGGACGGCCTGCTGTACGTTATCGCCTCCGACAGCACAGAGCGCTACGACCACTCGGTGGACAGCTGGGAGGCCCTGCAGCCCATGCTGTACCCCATGGACAACTGCTCCACCACCTCGTGCCGTGGCAAGCTGTTCGCCATCGGCTCTCTGTCTGGCAAGGAGACCATGGTGATGCAGTGCTACGACCCTGACAGCGACCTCTGGTCCCTGGTGAACTGCGGCCACCTGCCTCCCTGGTCCTTCGCCCCAAAGACCGTGACTCTGAACGGGCTCATGTACTTCATAAGGTGAGCAGTGGCAGCAGTTTCTCCCCGTCTCCCTGCTTCTGCGCGAGGTGAGCCAAGGGTTTTCCCTGGGAAAGCCTTTGGGTCTTAGGAGTGGCCACGTGGGAGCACTGTGTCACGAAGGCAAGGCAGTGCTTCCTCTGCTCTGCAAACTACCACGCTTCTTCCTTTTAGCTCTGTCACAACTAAACCTCAAGGACATATGTTTGAAGTCCTGTAAAAATATCTGAATTTTAAAGCTAGGGCTGGGAAATAGCCAGGGTTACAAATCAGGCTGACGTTGGCAGTTGTGCTTGGAATAGACTTCTCAGTTTTCTTGGCTTCTGGTTCAGTCCCCCTTGTTGCTATAAATAAGTGAGTAAGCTCCAAGAAAACGTTGAACTGTGGCATAGCAGAGGACACCCTCTGTCTCAGCAGAGGTAGGAGGAATGAAGACGAGCTGATTGGTCACTATTTTTAAGCACCTTCCCAATTTGGGATGTAATTACCTTTCTGAAGCCATCCCGGCAGAGGCAGCAGCTCTTTGTTCTGAACCATTTTGAGGAGGAAAGGTTTTTGGAAAAGCATCCTCAGGATTTAAAATACGCCCATGTAAAGGATGTTTGGGTCTTGTTTTCTGCTGTACATCAGATCTTGCATACTTCCTATAAAGAATTTGCAACTATAGGCCAGTAGGCTCAAGAAGGGAGGCATGCAAATCCTGAAGTCAGTTCTGTTAAATAAAGAATTGGGTGCATGAAATTGAAAGAGCACAATTTCAGAGGCTGAATGCATGTAAAAGGAAATTCAGATTGATCAGCCATTGAAGAATAAAAGGAGATTTTCTTCTTTGCCATAGCCTGTGAAGTCTGCTGTAACTGAACTGTCTTGGGCTGACTGGCACTGCTTTTCTGTCTGCCCTGACCTTGTCCTTCTTGCATTCTTGTGTCAGCAATGAGCATTTCTGCCTTACAAACATCTCTCACCTGTTGCTGTCGCGTCTCACAGTGGTGAGTGGCTGTAAGAAGCCTTGGGGGATTGTGCTGCCTGTCAGCTCTTCTGTTACAGTTCTCTGGCCTATCTAAATTTGGCGTGGCAAAAAACTCCAGCAGTAGGGATCTCATTGCTTCTAAATGCATAGAGGTTTAAGTCTCTTCAGAACAGTGCTGATTTTTCTTTGAGACTCTTAAGTGTTTGGCACCGAAGCCAATAAAATACAGGCTGACAAATGTTAGTCTGTGAACATGCCTACCATATATGCAAACTGAAAACAGTCTGGGTTTGAGAAAGCCCTCAGGATTGCCTCCATGTTGTCTTTTGTACCTCCTAGGTGGTGTCCTAAAGCTCAGTGTACATCAGGAAGTGCATAAAGCGTTGCTTTGCCCAGGGAGAAGCTGAGAAGGGCCATTCGGGCTCTTTCAATGTAGGTTACTAGCACTGAGAATTAGGGCAGTGCTACTTGAGTGTTGTCTCTGCTGGCATGTTTTATGTGTAGAGGTGCAGCACGGAGTTCTAGGGGTTTCCTGCTGCTATCTGAGAAGTCCATGCTGGAGACTGGGCTTTGCTTTGAGAGCGGAGCCTTCATAGAGCAGCCCTCTGGTCTTCAATTTATGTGGCAGGGCTGGAGGAAAGGTGCTCCAGGAAAGGTGCGTTGCAGGCCATGGCTCAGGCTGTTCAGATGTGGGCTTCACAAGGCAGAAGGTTTTGACAACACAGAAAAATAATTTTGTGTTATCTCCTGCAGGGATGACTCAGCTGAAGTGGATGTTTACAATCCAGTGAAGAACGAATGGGATAAAATCCCTGCCATGCTTCAGGTAAGATGCTCACCACCCTGCTGGATGCTTATCTGTGCTCATAATGGCGTTAAATTACCTTTGGAAAGCAGTGTTCTGGTTAGATGATAGCCCTTGAGCACAGAATGCATTCAGATGTATCACGGTTACCTGGATGGAAAAGTTTCTGATGAGAGGTGCTGGCAGTGCAGCAGGGCACGCGTGGCTGCGGGGGCAGCAGCAGCTTCAGTGCCACGCAGGGAGCAGCAGCTGCCGATGTGTCCGAGTGGGCAGAAGACCTCCCTGGTTGGGCAATACCTGCCCTTCTAACTGTGCTGCTTATTTAATCTTACTTTGTAGGTCCACGTTGGGGGCAGTGTGGCTGTGCTGGGAGGGAAGCTCTACGTCTCTGGCGGCTACGACAACACCTTTGAGCTCTCGGATGTCCTGGAAGCTTACGACCCCGAGACACGAACATGGAGCGTAGCAGGGCGGCTCCCTGAGCCCATCTTCTGGCACGGCAGCGTCAGCATATTCCGACAGTTCATGCCAGAAACCACACAGGAGGATGACAGCATCACGCTGGACAACACCATCAACCTGAACAGGCAGCGCCCGAACCTTCACCACCAGAACCTGAATGAGCTGCGTTAGCAGGGCAGCGTGCCATCCCTGCCTCAGTGCGAGTTCGTTGCCCACAACCGGTGTTGCTCTGAGAGAAGGCAGAGGCAAACTGGAGCCTGGAAGCAAAAATGTACTGATTAGTACAGGGAGTAAAAATGGAGTGTTTGAAATGCTGTTGTAGAAACCTAGCTGGCAGAACACGAGGCCTTTGGGTGCAGCGTTCCTCAGCCCTTTTCTTTGGAGGCCGAAGGTGCAGTGCTACTCACAGAGAAGGTCTGAGAAGTGAACTCTGCAGAAAATGGCTGTGTGAAGCACCACTTAAGCACCACAGCTTACAGCTTTCGGGCAGACGCCCTTCACCTGGAGCTCCTTCACTTTGCAACGCTTTGTTTGTCACGTAATTCCTTTCTTCAGTCTCTTCTGATGGGGAAAAAAAAAGGAGCAGAAGGAAAACAGGCAGGACCAAAACCCTCAGGAGGAGGGTTCTGCTCAGTAGGACTGCGGTCTGGACTCCCCTCGTCTGCTGTATGCTTTAGAGGAAGGCAGGCCTCTTGGATCTCTTCCTCTGTGCAGTTAGAGGGGAAGAGATGTCTCTACAAGAAGCTGAATGAGAGGCTGCTGTGAGGCTGCAGCCCTTCGTCCGTCGTGTCACCGCAGTCCCTGGCTTTGTTCAATGCCTTCTGGAAGAACACATGTCTGCGCAGCAGGGATCTCCGAGGGGCTGGGTTGTGAAGCTTGACCTTTCCTGTTGTCTGAACTTCAGTTCTTTGTGTGTTTTGCTGTTTTTTAAGTTGTGGCATTTAAACTTTTGCAGGTATTTGTTTTCCTACCCTTCTTAGAATGGCACTTTTGTTTTTCCTAATAAGAAACACCTTTATTTATTTTTTAATCACATTCTCACAACTAGGTTGCCTTCGTTTGTGATCACCTGCACCGTTCCTTAAAGGGAAAGAGAAAAGTGCCTGCCTTGGCTGGCTTGTGGAGCGCCAGGGCCCTCAGGGAGGAGCCTTTCTGCTTTCCCATTTTGACAGAGCTTGCTGGTATCAGGCTGCTCAGCTTGTAGAACACGCCTGGGCAGCTCGTTCTTCTGACCAGGGCTCTTTGCTGACAATCCTTTTACATCAAGCTCTTGGCACGTGTGCAGGGTCAGGCAGATAGGCCCTATGCAGCAAGGGCACACTCTTGTCCGTCGCTGAAAAGGAACTGGGTGGAAGTTGTACTGTTTTAGAAGGCTTATCTGGAAAGGTAAGCACAGCTTCCTTAGATTTGCTGCAGACTTGTGGAAAAAATAAGCTAGTGGTGTTTAGACACCATGATGCAGAAATGCATTAACTGGTGTGAAGGAACCTACTGAACCTCTGGAGAGTCCTTGTGCCTGTCTCATCTTCAGTTTGCAGAGGCTCTTGGACTTGGAGTAATTGCAAAATGCTGCTGGCATCATTTGGCTGAGTTGTAGGAGGTAGTGAGAGTGCTGCAGAGTGCAAGGTAGTTATTTAGGGTTTTCTTTTGTTGTTGTTTTGGTCTGTGTAAGATATGCCTTTATACTTGCTCAAGTGACCTAGCTAGCTTGAATTGTATTTCCTCTGTATACCTTCAGCTGAAGAAAAGCTGCTTGCAGTTGACTTGTGGAATGTTTCTTAAACAAGCAAACAGTTACAATGGCTCATCTGAAAATGAGCACTACGCCTTCAGGAAAAGTGAACTGTAACAGTGGCTGAAATGGTGGCTGGATTGGTTTTCTTTTTAATTCTGATTTTTAACCAAGGGGTAAAAAGTGAATTTGAGCTTGATTCAGAAATGGAAAGCTCCTCTGTGCCCTCTGGCTTGCCACCACATTGAGTGCATCAGAACTATCTCCATAAAATCGACACGTTCACAGCTTTAAAATACCCATTTTGCCTTGGATGCTGTTTTATGCTGGGCCGTGAGACTCGAGAAAGCTGTTCTTTAGGCTGGGCTGTGCTCGAGGTTGGAAGCTTGGACCGTGCCTTGAAGCCGCCGTGCACAGAGGAAGCGCAGCTGGGACGCAGCGGGACCTCGTGGCTCAGCGCCCTGCTGCCATCGGTGCACGCAGTGCAAGCTGCTGCTGCCAGGAGCAGCCCTGCAGCCCTGCGCCCCGCTGTGCTGAGCTGAGCACGGCCAGAGCTGTGCATGCTGCACACGGATGTGGCAGTGCTGAGCTCCAAGCATCCTGCATACACCACACCTCACTCTGTAGCGCTCACTGCTGCATCTGCCACCCGTAAATTCCCCAACCGGTCCGACTGTTAGGGAGCTGTATTTATTTTTTGTAAAATCCATTGTGTCCAAATCTTTGCGTCCTGTTTGAATACCATCCTTTGAAACAAAGGCATTTTACATTTACAGATGATGTATTTTTATTCTCATAGTTTGTTTTTAAGTTTACTTGCAACGGTCAAGTTAAATAAAAGATGTTACATTACGTCTGCATTCCTTTTGATGCGAAAATCACCACAATTAAGCTTTCACTGACGTTTCTCATTCCAGGCCTGAGCTGCATTTAACCCAGAGGGCTGCCTTCCAGGTGAGTGCTAGAAGGAAAAGGGTCGTGGGTGTGATGTGTGCACCCAGTCTGATGTGTGATGCCTCCCTGGATCCTGTTATTTCAAATATTTCAACTTCAACTCCCCACATCTGACAACAGGAGCTTAGGGGATGGCTGTGCTCCTGTCTTTCAAGCTGAGTAACAGCTAAATGAGTTCAGTGGGGGAGAAGGTAAGAAGACACACCATGCCTTTAATGTAGTAAAGAAACAGTAATGGGCAGCAGAAGCTTAACGAAACCACAAGGCATAGATTTAATTGAGGAAAGGGTCGTTTCAGCACGTGTTTAAGGAAAGGGACAGTGTCACACTCTTCTGGAAGAGCTTGAATCATCAGCATAAAACTAATGGAGCAAGGTAGGAGCTAGCACTGGAGCTACAGGTGAGCTAGCCTTCCCTTCCAGCCACAGCTGAGAGCTTGTTAAAAACAATCCACAGTATTACACGTATGGAGTCATCAATCACATCTCGTCTCATACATTGTATGCACATTTACTTAAGTAGTTGTTCTGAGTGGCTTCATATTTCTTAATTTGATTCCTGATTATCACTTCATTAGAAACGTTCTTTGCAATCCAGGGCTGGGATCATTACCTTGAGGGAGGAGGGCTGGATATACAACTTAGAGCTCCCGGAGGCTGAAGAGAACAAATGCAGCAGTGACTCAGGCCCGATGCTTTGTTTGGTAGGGAGGTATGACTGCAGTCACGTGGCCTCACAGTCATCGGGAATTGTTGCGATGATCAGCGACTGCTCCATCACGTCTGCCGTGGGGAAGCTGTCGTTTGAACAGAGTCTCTGCACAGGGATCTCCTCAGGCAGGGGGCCGTGGGACAGGGACTCCACAATGACCTCAGCTGAGCCCACCTCCAGCTCCTGGGGTGGCTGCAGGGCCACCACCACCGCCTTCTCATCCTCAATGATCAGATTTCGAAGCTTCCGCTGCCGGGGGTTGTAGTTCTCCACCCGGTCGTGAATCTCCATGTGGCGCCTCAAGTGTGCCTGCGAGAGGGAGAAAGGAGCAGGAAGGGTTTTTGCCTGGTGTGCCGTGCTTCTCCGAAAGGGAGGGCCGGCAAAAGCACAGCAAGGCTCCCCTGACCCACAGAGCACCAGGTTGTAAGGGCAGGCTGCCCAGCAGTGAGCACAGCCCCCCTGCTGCCTGTACTGCCTACAGCCCTCAGAACCCCCAGTGCAAAGAAACCCATTCACAGCCTGGGAGTCTGCTGGTGTCACTCACTGCAGCAGAGCAACCCTGGGTTCTCCTGCCCAGAGCAGGTAGGGGGTGTGAGTCACTCACGGCCCAGCACCGAGCTGCGTCCTACCTGCCGTGTGAACTTGTACCCACACTCGGTGCACTCAAACTTCCTCACTCCCTTGTGCCTGCGGACGTGGACACGCAGCTGCTCGACAGCTGAGAAGGAAAGGAAGGAGTTCAGAGCAGCCCTGCAGGCAGAACAGCTGCAGGCCCACGCTGTGTGAAGCACTACGGCAGAAGGGCCGTCGAGGCATGGAAAGGAGCGCAGCCTGGAACGGTGGCCCAAAGCCACAGCGGTAGGCAGAAGGTACCTTTGAATGTTTTCCCACAGATCTGGCAGAAGTGGGGCCTCCCCTCCTGGTGCCGACTGGCGATGTGCCTCAGGAGGGGCCCCTTCTCTGTGAATCTCTGGTCGCAGAACTCACAGCTGAAGGGGCGCTCCCCGGTGTGGGTCCGGTTGTGTTTGTCCAGACTCGCTGCCGGGAGCAAAGGGAGAGAGAGCTGCAGGTCAGCAGCCCGCTGGGTGCCCCAGTTTGGGCACAGGCACACTGTGCTACGATGGTGAGACCATGTGCTCTGTGCCAGGCAGGTTAGGAATGCTTAGAGTGGGGCAAAAGCAGGAGCTTGTTGCGCTGAGCTAACCATAGATGTGAAAAATTCACCACTGTTTTCCTCTTTTTGTGCTATGGAAGTAAAAAAAAAAAAAAAAAAAGCAATATTCCCTCGTGAGGTGTTATCCTACATACACCAGAGCATGCCTTGCTCTAGAAGGAAAACAGGTTTCTCAGCACGGCTGTTTCAGAGGTGGCAGATACCCATGGGGGGAGCAGGGCGCTCAGCACTACCAGCTCCCAGGTGGCCACTTGGGACAGGAGAGGGGGGCTGCAGGTACACAGAGCTGTGTGCCCTGGGGCTACCTTGTGTCCTGAAGGTCTTGCCGCAGAGGTGGCACTGGAAGGGCTTCTCACCGGTGTGGGTACGCAGGTGCATGTTGAGGTTTGCTTTCTGTGTGAAGGCGTGATGGCAGAACTCACAGACGTAGGGACGCTCGTTCCTGAGAGCAGGGGAAAGGCAGCTGAGCCTCAGGCAGCCCCAGTTGGAGAACTGCCACCTGCCTCTCTGTCTGTCTGACACTAGCTGTCGCAACTCTCAAAGCACTGCAATTAAATCCTACTTCAACTTATCTCCAACTAAAGTATTTTGCAGGGACACAAATGCTCCTCTGCACCCGTATGCTTCTGAAGTGCAGAGCTGGTGCTTCCTGCCCCTCAGGCACCATACAACCAGCCCAGGAACCAGAGCTCTGAGGGAAGTGTGGAAAGCTAACACAAACTCACCACTTCACGGACAGGAATTAGCCAGGCAGGACAGCTGATGAGCTTCAGCCATCACCTGCATTATTATCCTTAGAGGAAGTACAAACAGTACAAATTTCCTTTGGTAGAGAGGCAAGCAGAACTAAGGTTTGGCCACCCACCAACAGCTGTCAGTACCAGCAACCTGCATTTGTCACCACTCAGTCACCCCACACACTTCAGGAGGCTCCCCAGCACCCACCCCCTGGGGAGGAGCTCACGTCACACCTGTGCTTGGCCTTGATGTGCATCTGCAAGCCATTGCGACTTGAGGCTCTGTGTCCACACTCCTCGCAGACAAACAGTTTCTCTCCCCGGTGCTTGAATGCCTCATGCAGGCGCAGCTCTGTCCGAGACAGAAAGCACTTGGAGCAAGTTGAGCACTGCAAGGCCATAGGAGAGCTCAGGGTTAGGCAGCTCACCCACACGCAGCTCGCAGTGTGCACCCAGAACAGACCTGCTCCCCTTGCAGCACAGCTGTGCCATGCAAGATGCACCCTGCTGCGCCCTGCAGCAATAGCAAGCTTCAAAATGCTGAATGGGATGAGACAGCCAGCTGGAACTGAGAAGCTGGTCAGTAGATATGGATCTATCAGTTAAGAAGAGCCACGAGGGCTGCTCATTTATCCAAAATAAAATCTGTTTCCAGGAGCTTTTCAGCATTCCATAACTCCCTGCCTTGCTTAGCAGAACCAGAAAGGATAATGGGAACTACTCTTAGGTCAGAGCAGGATCATTCTCTCTCAGGATCTCTACAGTACCGCAGGGAAAGCATTACAAAATGCCACCTCCACTCACCCCACCTTGTGCCAGCGTGCTCCCCTTACCGCATGGGGCTTCGGTGCGCCGTGCAACTTTATCATGTGGCTCTGCAGGTCCTTCTTCTGCATGAACTGCTGTGCGCAGGAGGAGCACTGAAATACAGGAGAGTCAGCTCCCAGCCACCTCACAGACAGTGACTGCAACACGAGGAGAGGATCGGTGACATGCCTGCATGACTGGCACGGGAGTCGCTCCGACACAAAGACCTCCAGCAAGGCAGTAGGTGCCCATGCTGCAGAGCCACAAAGAACTGTCTGGCTCAGGTGTGTCTCAAGAGCCTGTTCCAGCTCAGAGGTGGGAAATGCCTCTGCTGCCGCTCGAGGCACTTGACAGCTCCCAGGGAAGGGAACCAGTGAAGGCAATATTAAGGACAAGGAGAAAGGCAGATACTGGGGAGAAAAGCCACGCTTGCAGTCAGACATGATGCACTGCAAGCACCAGAGTGTCCCTGCCACCAGGTGGTGACACAGCCCCCCGTACAGCACCTGCCAGGCAAGGCCAGGCTCCCCAGAAGAGAAAGGCTCGCCCGCCCTGCTGGGCCCAGCACCAGGCTGCACAGCTACGTGCACTGCTGACCTTATAGGGCATCTCCCCCGTGTGCGACACCACGTGGAGTCGCAGTTCCATCCGCCTCTTGAACACCTCCTGGCAGACAGAGCACGTGAAAACCTGCAAGAGAAGGAAGGCATCAGCTTCTGTGTGAGACAGGAAAGGAAGATGCCAGGAGTTGGAATGAAGCCAGCAGCCATCCCAGCAACTGAGAGCAGCACTTGCCATTTGGGCACCATGCCTAGATAATGTGCTTCACCTGCACTGCAAAAACTCCTATCTCTTCCAGGACAAAGAGTGCTCTCATGTGCTTGGGGAAAAAAAACAACGACACCTGTGAGAAACCATGTGCTAGCATGTCATGAACAGAAGAGCTGCTAACCTCTTGGACTTCCATCACGCTCTGGGGGAGCCAGAAAGCGTGCTCCAATAAGGAGGGTTTTGCCAGCAGCTGGAAAGAGGCTGAATTCTGCTTCTGTAAAACAGCACCTGCATCTGCAGCTTTCTCCCACCCCCTGAGGAGACTGGTGGTGACTTCACACGTGTACCTGCTCAGTTCGGCTCATGCAATTTCTGGCTTCGTGCTCCAGGAGATTCTCCTTTCTAAAATAACATTTACCACACTTAGAGCATTCAAATGGCTTCTCTCCAGTGTGTTTCCTGGGGAGACACAAATTCAGAGCATCCATTACTGACAGAGTAACAGCAGCACTGAGCTCCTGAGCCCACATGAAAGAACAGCCGCTGGCCTGCGCACTCCAGCACTCGCGCTTTGAAGAGAGGATGCAAGAACCCCACTCGCTGTCTCTGCTGCCCACAGCCTGAGGCCTCACCAGCTGCCTCTGCTCTGGTGTGTGGAACAGCTGCTGATGAACCATTTGCAGCCTCCTTTTCACACACTTCTGCTGATCCCAGGGTGTCCACAAGCACCTCCATGTTCCCAGAGCACGCTCCATCACCATGCTCGTTGCAAGTATGGGAACTGTGAGCCACAGCCTGAATCTCTGATTGAGCACCTGGGGAAAGGACCAGTCAGCCCTGGGAGCACAGGTGAAGGCAATTCAGCTGTGTGATCAGAAGAGGTGGAGCCTGGCTGCACCTCTCCTAGACCTCATTCAGGGTTGACTGCTTCTGGGGAAGAATCTCTGGGTGGAGATCCCTCGCCTGAGGAGTCCTTTCTGCAAGCTGAGATCCTCAGAGATGGGTGACTACCTTTACTTTTCCTGTGAAATATCATCCTATCTGTGCTGGTCCCTTTGTTGTTACATTCTTGTATCGCCCTTCTACCATGTTAATCTTTCTGACTGTAACAGCTATGCAGCTCCTGCCTGTTCCGGAAGCCTAGGAGCTAGCAGCTCCATGCATTGCTCTCACCAAAGCCAAAGGAGTTGGCAGCTCCTTCTGCCTTCCCTGCCATCCACCTGCAGACTTATGTCCCCCAAAAGGGCTCCTGAGCACCTTCACCCTTCTTTGTGAGCTGCGCCGGCTGATGCTCACAGAGCCACAGCTCCCAGCAGCACCTCGGGCAACGCCTCCCACACTGCTTGGAGAGCTGAGGACCCGAGGTGCCGTGGGGACGCCCAGCCACCCCTCAGCAGCACCAAGCAGAACCCCTGCACTTGGGGTGAGCCTCTACTCAGCCCGCACCCCGCCAGGATCCCCTGCTCACAAGGATGAAGCTCGGAGCGTTACCTGTTGTGCACTTTGAGGTAATATTTGCTGAGGAAGCTTTTATGGCACGTAGGGCACTCCACCGGCACCGCTGCGCCTTTCCTGCTCCCTGCCGCCCCCGCGCCGGGCTTCCCTTTACTGCGCAGCGCCTTCTTCTCGGGGAGGAGCTCCGCGTCGCTGTCCCCGGTCCCGCCGCCGCCCGCCGCCGCCACCGGGAGAGAGCTGACGGGCGGAGGAACGGGCAGGGTCACCGCGGTTTCCGGGCCGGGCAACCCCGCCGGGCGCTCCCCCTCCGGCACCGCCGGGCTGAGGACGACGGGCGGTTCTGCGGGGCGCAACGCGGGGCCGGGGGCGCGGCGCGGCCGCTGCCGGGCGGCGGCGGGGCGGAAGGCGCGGCAAAGCGCTACGGCGTCCGGCACGCCCAGCAGCTCAGCGGCGGCGAGCAGGCGAGCGCGGTTGTGCGCCGTCAGCGCCAGGCGCCCGGTGTAAAAGAAGTCGAGCAGCAGCTGGAAGGTGTCGGCCAGGCCCTCGGGCAGCGCCACCGGCCCGGCGCCGCCGCCGCCGCGAGCGCGGAAGAAGCGGGAGCAGCTGGCGAGCACCGGCCAATGCGCGCGGAACTCGCGCCCGCCCACGCCCAGCGTCGCGTCGCAGAACTGCCCGGCCGCGCGCTGCCGGTTCAGCTCCCGCAGCACGCGCACACTGTGCGCTGCCGCCGCCGCGCCCGCCATGGCCGCAACGCTACCGGGACCAGCGTCGCCACGGCGCCATTGCGGCCGCGCGCCGGATGTGACGCAGGCGGAACTGGGGCGCCGGATGTAAAGAACAGGGAAATACTACGCCGGATGTGACGAAAAAGGAAGTGACGTTCCGGATATGACGAAC